ATTTCTAAATATTAATGACAAGATATCAAAATGAAGCTATTTGGGCAGTTTCTGAAGTTTTTCACTAAATGAAATAATTATGAAGCCCTAATGCAAATAATAAGCAAGACAAAATAAAAAAAAAATAATTAAAAACTGATGTCCAAAAGAGATACGAAAGATATACCAAAGGGACATCCAAACTCTTAAGTCCAACTGACTAATGTCTTATGAACATCAGAAGGATGTTATGGTAGATTTATAATATTTTTATTATTTTTTCGAATTCCAGAAAGCGTTCAATTGCATTGAATTGAGTGGAGCTCTTCAACAGGTCAGACGGAAAGGCAAACTGTATAATCATAATGAATTTAGCAGCTCATCTGAAGCTTTGACCACCTTAAACAGAGTGTTATATATTTAAGTACCATCTGAATTTTCTGTATTATTATTCGAATCGATTTATTTTCAGAAAAATTCTTTAAGACATAATCACAATCTAAAATTTATAAAATTCCAACCACTTGAAACCGTTCAGAAACAACAAAGAGAATTACACAAGCAATTTGAAAAATCACGTGAAGTTCGCAAATTATTTTGGATAAAAGGTCTTCAAACAGTTTATCCAATCGGTCTTAATGACAAAATATTAGGACAGGGGAACATAACTAAAACTTCAATCGATGTCATTGATATTGTCAATAAACGACTTAGAAATAAAAGGTCTCATGGCAAACGCAAAAACCGTAATCAACGTATTAAACATCGTATAAATTATACACTTGCTGATATGATATCTATAATAAAAAATAATGGCAGACATCAAGTATTATGCAAACTGGGTCAGATACCAATAAGTAAATTTTATGCTATTTTTCTGGAGTGTGATAAAATTTCTTTTTTTAGCCCAATGTATGAATACACCCGTATTTTTACAGCCTTTTGTCACCATAGGCTGTTTCCTAGTATCGATAAACCTGAAAACCATAAACGGCATTAATCAAAATATATAAATAGAGGTATTGATTTTATTAACTTATCTAGTATATTCAATGACTCTACCATCCAAAGCCAAATACCTCCATATTTTGATAATATAGAACCACCTATTATTTCGTATTCTTTAAAAAAAAACCAGCAAAAGTTTGATTTTTAATTTTATGTCAATTACATCAGACGTCAATATAGAAAATAATGTTCCTTTCACTTGAGACTGTGAAACATCTAGTTTTAGATATGTTCCCTATGGTCATGTCCTTACAGGAGACCTCTACATCGTCGAAGACCGTGAGGTCATAACGTTTCTTAAGAAAGGACCGAAAAATCGTCCTCAATCTAAAATAGATTGGAAACAGTGTCGTCAGGTCATTAAAGACTCTCTGTCTGTCTACTGTAAAAGTTGGTGTAAACGTGAAAAATCAGACAGTTATTTGAATAAAATTATGAATACTGTTAATATTCGTATATCTCATTTTGAAAACAATTCTGAAATTAGTAATAGGGTCCATGATATTCCCATTTCTAGAATATAAAATAAACTCCAAGTACTCGCAAAGCAGTTTGTGTTCGTACCGGCAGACAAAACAGCAAATAATGTAGTGGTGGTGTGACGCATATACTACACGGAAGTTGTCTAAAACGAAATTATAAATTCTTCTACATTCAGGTCCGTACGCTCCACAGAGTCAAATTGTAAACAAGCATATCACTGCCACTACCCAGCTTAAAGCCTCTTCCGAACATTTGAAAGTCCCTACTATGTACTGGTTACCTAAATTGCACAAAAAACCATTTAAACTCCGTTTCATACTACCTCCCTTACTACTATCAGAGAACTTGTTATTAACTTTTGTAATAAAGCTTATGAAAATAATGGTATTAATTATTTTCGGAGTGTTAAAAATTCTTTAGAGGTTTTAGATAAAATACATGCTTTTGATGGTCCTTTTAATTCTGTTGACAGTTATGCTTTTTCTACTCTCTATACTACACTTCCACACAATCTTATCAAGAAAAAGTTTTCATATTTAATTAAATGGTCTTTTGAAAAATCTCATTGCAAATTTATTTGCTGTAACTCGTTTAAAGCCTTTTTCTGTAACGAAAAAGGAAAGTATGCTAGATACACTTACTGGAAATGTGAAGATATGATTGAACTGTAAATTTTCTCCTGGACAACATTTATGTACGTTTCTGCGATAAAGTGTATCGACAAGTAGTAGGTATTCCTATGGGCACTAACTGCGCCCCTTTAATAGCAGATTTATTCCTGTATTGCTATGAATCTCAGTTTATGACCAAACTCAGTAAAGACACGTCATTGTTACATCTGGTTGATATATTCAACAATACCTTCCGTTATCTGGATGATATTTTTTCGTTAAATAACCCAGAGTTCTCTAAATATACTACCGAAATTTACCCAAACGAACTTACTTTAACTAAATCTAACATAAACAGCAGAAGTTGTCCTTTTCTAGATTTGGACATTTCAATCTCTAAAGGAAAACTCCATACTAAAATTTACGACAAAAGAGACGACTTTTCATTCCCTATTGTTAATTTTCCGTTTTTAGACGACGATGTTCCTTTAGCTCCATCATACGGTGTTTATATATCCCAACTCGTTCGTTATGCCCGTGTGTGTAGTGATGTCATAGATTTTAATGAACGTAATCAATGCATTACTGGTAAATTATTAAGTCAGGGATTTCGTTACCATAAAATACGTAAAACTTTTATTAAATTCTTTCATAGATACAAAGATTTGATTAGTAAACTAGGCTGTTCCTGTAAAAAACTGATTAAAAACGGTATTTCGCATCCTAAATTTTACGGTAATATTGCACTTAAAGCGCGGAAATCACTATGTGATCCGTGTAAACTCATCGAACCTTTAAACAAACTTATTAGTAAAGGTTATCTTACCAATGTTGTAATTAGATCTTTGAATTTAGTTTACATTGGCACTAATATCGATTTTGTCATCAGCAAATAAAACATAACTAAATTTGTATTCTTTTCAAACGGGTTGTATAAAGACACACGTTCATTTTGATCTATAAAGAGGTTAAATCCTAACTATCCTACTGCCTGTCGATACATTTATTTTTGGCATTGCACAAGTCATGTCTTCTTTGACTGTCCATGACGTTAAAATACTAAATCCCTGGGATGTGTTTTAGTTGATTTTAGTCTCTAATGCATGATTTTTTATTATTAATTGTTTTGGCTTTTAACTAGCTGTCAGTAACTGCGAGTACTCTCAAATCGTACTTTCTTGTTTATTTACCTGTTATACTAAATGTTATGCTTTCTTGTTATTTAATGTTTACTTATTCAGGGTTATATCTGATCTATATACCAGCTTTGATAAGTGTTTGGTATTACTATAAATTTTCACTTCTTCGTACTATGAACATAAAATTATTTATTTTGTAAAAATGTTTCCTTTCTCCATTTGAACTGTACACGTATACCTAACAACAAAATTATTTTCATTTACCTGTGTTTAAAGTAATTGCAAATGGCTGATATTTTTGTTCCAGCATATTGTTTTTCTTAAATTGTTTAACATTTCACAGCGGTATAACATGTTACTTTAATTATTCTTCCCTTAATTTATTCATTTTGTATTTACATTGTATCATTGATCAAATTTATTTGTTCAGTGTATGTTCACTGGTGTTAATATATCTTTTGATTGAGTCAAGCCATTTCAATTGATATTCTATAGTGTGTCTTTCTATGTTGTGATGTTACACTTGTGTTTCAGATAAGGATGAAGGTTTGAAACTACTGTTGCCTTATTTTATCAAATTATCAAGCATTATGAATTTAATTGTTATTTGTTGAAAAGTAAGAAATGTTCACTGTACTCTGCATGATTATGGTAATGAGCTGAATTCATGTGAATCCGTGTTAAAAGTAAAATAACAAAAATACCGAACTCAAGGAAAATTCAAAACGTAAAGTCCCTTACCAAATGGCAAAGTCAAAAGCTCAAACACATCAAACGAATGGAAAGCAACTGTCATATTCCTTATGTAGAAAATGGTGGATTAATCCTGGTTTTATAGCCAGTAAAACCTCTTACCTGTATGACTTGCAAACCCGAAAAGATAAAGATGAACATGCCAATGTGATTTAAATTAAGGCGAGTAACAAAAAGAAGACACATAACACACTGTATAAAAAGGACAATATACAAAGATGAAAATCCAAAGCAACCAGAAAAGGCGTGTACGAACAGTGAATACATAAAGCTAAAACCTTGTACATCCAACGTTACAGCTTTTAATTATCTAACAGAAACTTTTAACTTATTGTCACAGATTAAGTATCTAATACACCATTTCTGTGCTTTCAGTATTTACAAGAACATATTTATGTAATGTATTGTTAAAACAAGTTTTTTGTAAAAATATTCTGTTTTTGGTCTATATTAATTCTTATGGATGACGATTAACAAAAGGGCGCATTCATAGTCAAGCTAGCAATAAGCAATACACTATCATGAAAATATTGCGGATTTGGCCAAGTGAGATGTTTTGATACCCAACGAGACTTTGACTTTACAATTTATAGTTATTTCAAAAAAGAAATGACTGACATACAAATGGAAAGCTTTTTCGCTGTAAAGGTTAAAATCAACTTTCCATCGTTTATACATGTATTTCGTCAGTACTATAACAGATAATCTCCAGATGTTTCCATAAGAGTAATCTGACCAGATATCTTTGAAAAAAAGTAAACGGTAAATACATTTCTATTTGCAGTTTATAAACTTTATTTTTAGCGTCTTTTGTCATTTTGTTAAATATAAAATTGATTTCATTACGTATTTTCATATAAAGATAAATGCATCATTTAAAATATATGAAATAGTAAATTTAAAAAATTATTTCATGATAGTAATAATTTAATAAGTAAAGTCAAACAAATACACAAAAAAGCAATAGAGCATAAGAAACATTTAACGAAAACATAAAAGGTATGTACTTATAAGCATCGTATGTTTGTCTAGAAGACATACTCCACCAGGTAAGTTGTCGTTGATTTTAGTCAATCAAAAAGAATTCATGAACGAATTTTGTAATTATTAAATTTGACTTAATGCAAAGTCTGAAACTCCTAATCATACTATACTTGTATAACATTACACCTTTAATTTTTAGATTTTTTTTTCTATCGACTAAATAATCGGAGTGATCAATAATTATTTGTGCAATTTATTTTCGTTCGTCCTTAATTCAGTTGACATCCGGATATAACTACCTAAAATGTTAACTTACACCTTTTAAATACACTTTTTATGGAAAAAACATTGCTTTGTACGTGAGTAATTTTCGTTTTAAAACATGCTTTTCATAAAGTAGTTTGTTAAAATATTTCAAATACGCGCAAATTATTTCAATCGTCTACTGATTCAACAATTGTAAAACATTTGGGCACGTACGTACGGAGCAGAAATTATTTGCCAAGATCTAAAGTATATCTAGTGACTGTCACCTGACAAAAGCAGCAGAAACCGTAAATTTTTCTTTGCATTTAACGCAAAATCTATATTAATAAAAATTAAGTCAGTTTTATGTCTTAGAATCAGGTTATCAAGGGAAATATCTTTAATAAATGTGATACCATATAAGAATAAAATAAAACGTGTGATAATTAGTACAGTAACAGTAATTAGTTTATTTTGATTGAAGGACCTATCCACTGTATTCATGTTAACGACAATATAATTATATATTCATTTCGAAACTATCGACAATTTCAATCTTTTCATTGTTCTCTTACATCCACACTTTCTTCTAATTTTTACATACTCAATCAATTTGATTAAAATTTACCGCATTTATTGACATATGCACAAATTGAATAATAATAATAAATAATTACTGGTCGCAATGGCTGTGCTTGAAACAAATTCTGTACTACATGGCGACTAACACCAAACAAAAGTAGCCGGTACGGTGAACATAACTTCGATGAAAAATACACATTTAGTGATCTGATGACTTAATAAACTCATCATAGGTACAATAACTACAATTGTGCACGTCAGACGCGCATCTCGTTTACAAAAGACTCATCAGTGACGCTCGAATCAAGTACAGTACAAAGTTGAAGAGCACTAAGGACCTTAAAAGTCTGAACGGTTTTACCAAATACAGGTGAGGTAATCTATTCCTGTGGTACAAAATTCTAAGTATTTAAAAAAAGTTTGTAAATGATGAATTTATTATCATGACCAATGATAATTGATGACAACACAGAAGTGCTGACTACTATCGGGGAGGAAACCTCCACCAGCAGTGGCAACGACCCAGTGGTTATAAATAAACTCATCATAAATACCAGGAATAAAATTATGCACGCCAGACGCATTTTTTACCACCTTTAATCTTACATTGAAATAATAGAAGAATTGATATCTTAATATTGAAAATGATAAAAAGAAACATTTTTATCAGCAACTTTATCAAATATCGAAACCAAGAATTAAAAAATGTTTTTGAAGTCTAACGCTCATGACCACTAAATTACAGATTTGATATACCTTCTAAGATATTTACATCAAACGTTGTTGAATGCTATTTTTTCGTTTCTCTTAGTTCTTAGTACTTTTTAATTTGGTAAATTATGTTAAGTGTTGTAAAACCGAAAGAGGTTTGTAAAACGTCTTGGCTTGGCCAGTTCCATTCGTCCGGTAATCTTAAAACTAAATGAATTGCCTTCCAGACAGTTTTATTCAACTGATGTTCATTCCCACACTTAAAATATTTCAAAAACTATGAAGATACACAAATAAAATCTAAAGGCAAAGCAAGAAGACTAAAGAAAAGACGAAAAGAATAACAACATAGAACATAACCCTAAACCAAAGGTGAAAAAGCTACGGAAGGATAAGCAGTCACATATAATTTTCTAGCTCATGCCAAGCTTGTAACTTTTAACTGTACTTAGACCTAACTGAATTATCAATTAAATTTTCGTTCACAGAACTTGATGTGCATAAAACTGTAAACTAAGAACAAACAATGCCCACCTGAAATCATGGTTACAGTACTTCATACTGTAATTTTTATTAAATTGATTATCAGTGTTACTGCCGATGTAAATGTAGTAAGTACTATTTATTCATTATTTATTACATTATTTTTTATCGAACATTAATGTGTTTATAAAATTGGAGGTATTTTGTCAATAAAAATGCAACATCCTGTTCAAATTCAGGTTAAGATATTCATATAGTTAAAGTTCAGTGTTTCACTGAGGGGTCTCAAAACAAAATTCGAACAAAAATAAATAATGGCCTTCATAGTAATAACATTAACCCATCTTTCGAAAGTAATTCTGTGGATGCTGTGTTTTTTCTATCGTTTCAGAACTTTTATATTTTGCATATGTATTCTCTATTTCGAACTGAAATAGTGTAATTTTTACAAGATTGACTTTTGACGTACACATGTACTAGTATTAAAATTTAGGTTTGAGGACACAAACTTCACTGAACACTTTAGAATGGAGTCATGTGCCCGAGGAGTAAGCAAATCACGCCCGATTGCATGTGCTGTGTTACTTGTGTTTTTTTTAACTATGTTTTTTAAACAAAGATACTTGTTTTATTTCAAAATGTTCCTGTTTACAGTTCCCAATACTGCAAACTTATAATTAAGCTTATTTGCCCGAGAAGGAGGCTAAATAGTCTACTTTGTTCGCTTAAAACGAAACAAAATCGACTCAGTCTTTACTACAGAAAAAAATCTAACCCACATTAAATAATAATAACATAAACTATATGAAACACGGACTTTCGAGATAAAAGATAGTTCTATAAATTGCATCCTTAGTTAATTATAAGCAATTCAAGTGCATCCAATTAAGAACTGTTTACCTTGTCTATTGTATCATTAAATTTGTAACTAAGCACAGATATTCAGATTATTTCTCATGTTTGATTTCTACAGATTCAAAATATCCACAGATGACAAGATTATCCCGTAAGATTTTATTTTGTTTGTTCTTTCCATTTTTCGTCTATTTTGGAAAAATGAAAATAAGATTTTCATAAATATTGTTTCGATTGACCACTATTATTAAGCAAAATCATTATTTAGGATTTTATTATTCATCTGATGATTAATTTTGTTGTATTACAGCTAAAAAGATATGCTATATATTTATAAATATTTCGTTTTATTTACCATTTGGTACAGATGACTTTTATTTGACATTCACATATTTTGAGGTCTACTTTCCGTACATATAATAATAAACGTATTGAAATTCTGCTTAAACATTTTCAATGTTGTCCTTATCAAATGTTGTGAGATTTTAGTTCTAAAGGTTTCAGTCTTTCATCATTTCTATTTAATATGTACATTTATTCTGAAAGAGTATATTTTCTAATTGTCGTTATATTAAATTCATGTTTGTGTTAGTTTTTTCTAAATTTTATAAAACCGGCTGGTATCGATCTTTTAATTCACGAAATTTTGGATATACAATTGTTTTCTCCAACAAATCTCTCACATATTTTTAGCTTATCAACTAAACTATAAAATTCATTGGTTTTGTCGTTCCATATATCTTTCTGTAAGAAGACAGACATACTTCAACGGCTCATTTTTGAATGACACTTTTGAATAACCAAATATTCTCCTACTAAGAAGTAGATTTGTCCTTGTTCTGGGATTACCGCCTTTTTATCCCCCATGCGACGCGTTGTAGGAGACATAGAAACACGGTCATCTGTCTGTCCGTGCGTCCGTGTGTCCATGCGTCTGTCCGTCCGGTCTTGTAAGCGCTCTCACGTGTTCAATTCTTGCCAGATTTTTATCGAAAAGTTCAAAAGTCAAATATTTTTTAAAAAGTTATGCCTCTTGGAAATATTAATTATTTGGAAAATGGCATTGTAAGCGCTCTCATGTGTAAAATCCTCGCCTGATTTTGATCAAATCTATATCAAAGGTTTATATTAGCAATGTCTCGGACAAGTTTGAAAATCAGTGCCGATCAGCTATTCTTAAAAGAGAAATGCCACATGGAAATATTAATTACATGGAATAATGCATTGTAAGCGCTCTTACATGTACAATTCTTGCCAGATTTTAACCAAAGGTTTATATCAGCAAGGTATCCGACAAGATTAAAAATCAATGCCGATCAACCATTTTTAAAAGAGAAACGCCCATTAATATATTTATTATATGGAAAACGGCATTGTAAGGGCTCTGAAGCCTACGTTTCAAGATATAATTGATAAAAAGTTTGAAAAACATAAGAATTTGTTTTCGTTATTGCCCTTGGACAGATAAAATATGTGCAACGCGGGAGACATTGGAATATTATTAAGATTTAGTCAGTTTACATTTGAGCACTGAAATAAAACATATTGATCATGGTATTTGTTATCAAACTGTCGCAGTCAATACTTTCCAACAGCATTCCAGCTTTTCAACGGTTAATGGAGAATGCGATACAGTTTTTTGTTGTTTACTTCTAGTGAATAAATCCCATCCCATGCATTTATTTTGTTATATCTAGACAGCAAGCCTGTGTTTTTGAAAAAAAAATAGTTAATCAAGTTTTTATTCTTTCGGAAATTTACCAATATATCTACTAAACAGACAAGGAATTCAAAACAAAACATAAAAGGAAGAAATAGCTACTATAGGGGCGGTCCAAGTATGTAAATCGAAGTTCATTAAAAATGAAAATAAATAACATAAAATGCATGTTATGCGTCCGAAGCGCTTTTCTGGGTTTACCTTCAACAAGAACGCTCAAAGTTAAATATTTTAAAGCCAAGGATGTATAAGTTTATATATAAATATAGAATGCAGGTTTCCAACAGCTTATATAAGTACATGTTCATGGTGTCCATTATTTCAGATTGAAGGTGAAATAACTGTTTATTCATTCAAAGACAAAAAGGCAGATTTTGGACCAAGTATACCCAAAAGTGGTGTTAAGGTATTTTAATAATGCTTTGTTAAAGTCATAGTTAAAGAAAACAAAAGATAATCTTATAGTTGTATCATTTTTGCATACCTTAATAGATATAATAAACTCAACAGTGATTCGAAACCATAACATCAAATTTTTGTGAAATAACCAGACATTATACTAACATTAAATGTCAATTTAGAATAATAATTGATTTAATCTGATTAAAATAAATTGCAATCATTTGCTAAAATTATGAAAAAATTATGAATAAACAAAAATAGCAAGTTATTTTCTTGAACTTCTCAAGAAAAACTTTTAAATTTCACAATCTTTTTAATTTCAGGGGAAGCTTGTTTATCTAAAGCCGAAATTTAACAAAACATGCCTTGACTATGAACCAAACCGTCCGACAAATAAGGAAAACGAGACTATAATTGCTCTGATGGAAAGACGTGGTTGCACATTTCTTAGCATGGTAAGCAACAGTATGCGCAATGCAAAAAAATAATTTTTCGTCTGTAGTAGTCGAAGCTAAATATTGGATTTGCTTATAAGTTTCAAGCAAAGAATGAGAAAAGAAAAAGAAAATTATAAAAGTCATTACAAGAGAAAAACAAAATTAAATGCAACCAAAACATTAAAAATTGAAAACGTATTCTAAAGTCAAATCAATCTTCAGCGATGTTTTAAATGAGGTCGACACAACAATTGTATGATCAGTAGCCGAACTTATTTCTCAGTTTTTATACTGTAAGGTACAGATTCAATCAAAGGAATAATACATATATTAAATGTAGTAAATATTTGTATAAAAATTATGTACTCTTGTTTTAAATCTAATATCAAAATATGAAATAACACTATGTTATGTGGCTACTTTATGCAACGTCTACGGTGTTGAGGAGCATTATGTTTTCTGGTATGTCTATCCGTTCCCTTTTGGGTTAAAACTTAAGTTTAATGTTGTTTACGTTGTGATTAAATCATTCTGAAACTTAGTACATATTTCATTACAACGTTATCTTTTTAAGATATATAATAGAAAAAAAAGATATACGGTATCCATTCATGAAATAAAATCAGTACATGCACAGAAAAAAAAGCACACAAAAAGCAAAGAAAGAGCGCTTTTATTGCTGTTTTTCGTCTCAAAGTTACAGTGAGGCCTTCAACACGGAGCAGAAAAAACTGTAACCTCACTGCAAGTTTCAGACGGCCCCTAGCACCGGCTTGACCGGAATTCTTTGCAAAAATAATTTGGATAGACTTTGTAAGATGCAACACCACCAAATGGGGCTAAACTATGCCAATTAAGGTTTTGACCCAGATCTTGCAATTCACTAAACATGGAAATGAGATAGTGCAAGCAAAGAATGGTGTCCGATGGACACATATTCATTTGTAAATACTTATATCTCATACTATCCTGTTTCAAGTACATAAATCCCATATTTACACGTTTGTGCTACAAAAAATGAATTTGTTCCAGGTACTTGATGCACAACGTATGAAATTTGATGCAGTTATCGTGCATAATAATTTTCATTCCGGGGAGCAATTATCGAGAATGCTTGGCACCACGGGTAAACTATGTTGATATATTATACTGTGTTAAGTCAATTATAATGATATTGATTATAATGATAATAAAAAACTATTATATAAATCTTAATCTAGTTTGTTAATTTCAATTAGACTTTCACTACGAAAAGTATAGCTGCAAAATGTATTTAAACATCTACACAAACTATATTTTATCTACAATTATTCAAATAAATGTTTTAATCAAAATGAAAAACATAAGGACATCTCTCTAGAAAAGACATTTCCCACTGTTACCGGAATCAAACGAATGATATTTTCTCAATCTTGAAACTTTTTCATATTTGCAGTGAGGTTTGGTTAGACTTTAATCTGCCTTCACTTTTAAATTGCAGATTCAAAAATGGAAGATGTTATGATCTCGTCAGTACTTGTAGGATATAGTGCTGGACAATTTTTAAGCTCCTATGATGTCAAAAACGAAGCAGAGTACGTATAACCATATCCAATCATTTAATATTTCTGGACAGACAAACGGAAAAACGTTAAAATTATTTATGTAATTGTAAATTCTATGCCTTACTATTCATTGCTATTGATATAAAATAGAATGTCAAATTCTTTCCATCATCTCCTATTTTGCTTTCGACGTTGAGACATTCTAACTTTGTTTATTTTTTATTACCTCTTTTTTTTTATTTCTCGCATGCGAATTCTAAGTGTCTTCTTCACTCATTACATTAATGTTGACATTTTATTTTCACTTGTAAATCAAAATGTAGAAAAAGCACAAAGATGTAAGGAAGAAGTAATAAGTAGTGTGTCATTCATTTTCGTTTCGACATTATGAAGTTGAAACTGTAAAAGTAACTTTTTATGCAGTTACTAAAGTTGTAATGAGAATTAAAACCAAAAATTCAATTGCAAGAAGAGGTCAATATTAGGTCTTTTTTGTGTGTGACAGATGTCAATTTATTTAATTTGTTAATAAATTTCACAAACGCTACGAAATATCCGTCATTTTCTTTAAAATGGACAAAAATATTTCAAACGACGTGTAGTGCTCACGGTAAATCGATACCTTACATTTGGAGCGTATTGGGTAAAAATTATTCCAGAACACTTGTAGTGTACACAGTAAATAACTACCATTTATTTGGTTTTCTACGTATCTGGTAAAAATTATTCCAAAAACACGTGTCGTGCGCACGGAAATCGATACCTTAAATTTTGGTATCCTCTTAAATTAAAATTCTATTTAAAAAGAAAGAAGATACCCATAGGGTACTCAATCAAAAATCGGCAATATCATGTCCAAAAATAATACGACGAAAAGATTGATTGATTGATTGATGTTTGCTTTGCGACGCATTAGCGCAAAAAGGCTATATTGCGGCGATACGACGAAAAGGCAAAATAGTTCTACGAAACTCTTTACAGAACAAAAATTAAGAAACACGAACTACACCAAAAGTGAAGCGAAAGATATCAAAGGGACATTTAAACCACTAAGTTGAAAATAAACTGACAACACCATGGCTTAAACAGAAAAAAAGACCAACAGAAACACAACAGTATACAAAACACAACATAGAAAACTAAAAACTGAGCAACACGAACCCCACCAAAAAACCGGGGGGAATGCTCGGAAACGGTAAGCAGATCATGCTCCACGTGTGGCATCCGTCGTGTTGCTCATGCGAGTACAAAATCGGTGTTTAATCTAATACGGTAGGTCACATTCGGGAAAAAGTTACCGGGATTGTAGTTACGACAATTGGAACATTTCCTTTGTCATCTGTGAAACAGATATTCCATAACGGTCGACCAACTCACGAAGGGATGATTTCAACTTCACCACTTGGAACTCTTGGTTTTATAGCTTCATTGTGAGCAGCAACTCTCTATCAAGGAAATCATGATAGTAAATGCAAGCTCTTGAATATCGTTTCAACTGGGAGATATATACTCCGTATGCAGGCGCTGCTGGAATGTTGCTACTTAGAAATGGAAAGTTCACAATTGGGAAGCTGAAAGCATCTCTTTTGTCGTAAAGTTTTGTTTTCAACCGACCCTCATTGTCAAAGCTACCAAAATTAGGGTTTTAACGACTACGGTTTATGACTCCTCCTCCTACGCAACTACGAAATTTTAAAGTACAATTATACGAAAACTGCTTAGAAAATGGATAAAATAGCCATACATTTGCGCAAATATCATCACGAACCATCTTTTACAGTAGAAAATAAAATTCATTGTTCAATTGCATTTGATGGAAAATGTGAATTTTGTGGCCAATCGAGGCATGATTTTGCAGGAGAATCCATACTTTTATTAACACTTAATAGAAAGTTGCTGCTTACAAAGATGCTAATAAACCAATGGTTTTTAGTGGTGAAGTGAAAGTCACCTCTTCTTAACCGTTACGGACACGATCACGAGTTGATTGACCGTTATGGAATATTTGTGTCACAGTTGATGACAGATTTGTTCCAATTGTCGTAAATACAATCCCGCCCTCTTTTCCTTGAATGTAACATTACCAAATCAGGCATATCACAGAACTTGTACTTACAAGAGTAATATGACGGGTGTCGCATTGGGAGCAGGATCTACGTACACGTCCGGGGCACCTGAGATCACCAAGTTGTTGGTAGGGTTCATGTTGCTCAGCATTAAGAATTGTATGTTTTGTAGATTGTTGTTGTCTATTTGACGTTTATCGTGTTTGACATAGTGTTGTCAGTTTGTCTTCGATTTATTACTTATTGAGTTTGAATATTCCTTTGATATTTATCGCCTCTCTTTTACAGTGATTTTCTTTACAATATTTGGATTTAAGATTACTCACTTGTATGTTTATGTTGTGATACCGTTTAATGTTCACGGATATGTTAACATAACGGTATAGGTTGCACTTCTGTAAACAATGCAATTTCCCATAGGAACTCATTTTACGGCTTAAACTGTACCACATTTTCTATGAAGTTTCGTAAAAAAATATATCCTAGAATGGAAAACTCATATGCACTACTATTTTTTTCAAAGGTCAAAATATAGGGCTGTGCGGCATATTTTCAACATTTATATGTCCCGAACTTCTAAGAGTTTAAACTTATACTAAAATTCTGTACTACCCCTCCCTTCACTCTGGGTCTTCCTCGGAATTCAATTTGGCCGCTATTCATGTTTATTTATACTGGTTACATTCCCAAGTTATGTCTTTATGAGATGAAGCATAGAGATCATGTCTGGGAACCAGTACGTAAACAAAACAAAATATCTATGAATATTATATATCTCCCCAAAAGAGGCGTGGTTTGTGAGTCAGCTGTATTTACAAAGTGCAATCTATAATGCAAAAAAAAATGCAAGTTGAATCACTTAACTTTAGCGCACCCTTAATGTGTACTTGAATAGGTCCATAGTTGTATTCAATGATTTTACTGCGGTGTTCAATTGATATCCTTTAAGAATAAGTTTATCGAAAAATATCAATGAGTTTACATAGATTGCATTTAAATTTGATGTGCAATATCATGTTTTAAATAAGAATGCTACATGTACAGCAAAATACAAAACGAATTCTTTGTATCTATGAAATAATTGTGTAAAAATTTTAAAGTAATTTATGGTAACGAAATCCCTGACTTAATAATTTACCAGTAATACATAGATTACTATCATTGAACTACTTACTATAGTATTAAAGCAACAATATGGTTAATAATACTAAACTGATTTGGTTATCTACTTAATGAATTTGCATTACAGTAATAAGAATAAACATATGTTCATATACATAAGTGATGATGTACGAATAGAATATGATACAACCTCCACTTACTGGATTGGATATGCGTTTAGTCTTACATTGTTACTTTTGTGTCCTCTATTGATGGGAGTTTGCTGTTGTATAATACATGTAAGTACAATAATTTACTTTTAACAAAATAGCATGTATATCATACAGACTTTATCTAAAAAAACCTTCTAGAAGCTGAAAACATATATAAAGGTTATATGCAAATACTTTTCTATAGCAATTACCAAATAGAAATGATGCATAGCAAAGCTCAGTATTAAAATGTTCAATTTTGTTATTATATTGCACAGGACTTGATAACCATGAACTCTATGAGAGTACGAAAAATGTGTTCTCTCAACACAAATATTGTAGATAGTGTTTGCATTTAAACAAAATAAAATATGGGGTATACGTCATTGAAACATCAACGAGATGTGTTTTGAAGTAGAATGTCCCCGCCGTTACTACAAGTCCATTGACCGTAGTTCTGTGAAAAATTATCATCTCAAACGAAATGCAAACGCGATCTTTAGCTCAATATTATACACATATATATTCATAAAAACACTTTTCAATTACAGGCATAACCATAATAGTCATGAAGACTTAGATTTTGAAAGGACGGAATTAAGGACATGATAATACTAGTGGATACTAAAAACAAACAAAACATATAGTGCTAATATCTGGTCTTAAACAGTAGACAAATGTCTAGACCAAATCGAGTCATAACAAGGCTCAAAGTAGTTGATTTGCGAGTCTTGTTTAAATTGATACTGTTCAGAAATCTTCTAATGACTTATCATATTATTATAATATTATTACTAACGTATTCCATTAAAGAATACCATCAATATATAAGAAGTATATACAAGCTGAGTTTCTTAACCAACTGATTAATGTATATATGCTAAAATGGTTTTAGTATAGAAAAAGAACGTCAGTCAAAAGATACCTGGAGATGGCAAGGAGAACAAGAAGGCCTTTACCACTTCATTTGTATAATATACAGGCGTTGAAACGTTGTACTCCTCAAATTCATGCTGCAAAGTTTAAGAAAGGTAAATGTATGGCAAGAAAGTATTGCATATCAATGTCAAACATAAACATTATACGTTGATATGAGATCGGCATGTGTTATATGAAACGTAAAATTGTGCAGGTGCTTTGTCTAGATAAGAAGTATAATTTATATCTGAGGTTATGATGCTTTCACAAATAAGCAACTGCAATATACATTTTGGTAATTATTAATAATTGCATAAATAGAAAACTGTATTGAATAGATGACCACCAAAGAAAGCAAACGGTGAATCTGAATCGAAATACTAGAAAAATCTCTTTGCAACGGGTAAATCTCCAAACCAGCTCAAAGAATAAAACGGAATTATTCATTGCAGTACACATATTTCTGAACAAAAGGAATTATTATAATGGTGTGAAATAATCAATCTAATCATGAAATTTGATTGGTAAACTTGACAGGGGATATGACCCCATGCCACCTGCGAGCAGAGATAATGATCAGAATGCTTGTAATTAATGTTGAAATCAAGGCACTTTAGTATAATATTATTGTTATTCGAACTTCATGAGTTATACTGGCTCATAGTCAAAACTATGGATCCCGAAAAAAACATATGATGTAGGGTAAACGTATTTATCTTACCTCCTATACATTTCTAGGAATATGATTGGTTAAAAGCGTCCGCGTGGAGACCGTGTATATTCCATGTTAGGTTTGTAGGGAGGCGGGGCTTATTTCATACACGGTTAGTAGTGGTGTTACGTCCCTTTATAAAAACAAAACGGTACTGAGAAAAAATCTTAAAAGTTTCAACAGACGAAGAAATTGTTGATGAATATTGAAATAAATTCATAAAACACATTTAAACCTAACAAGTTGTTATTGTTGGCATCTGTTTTTGTAGGATCAATGGAAGTAGTTTCTTAATGCTAACGGTATTGAAGACTTGCTCATTTTGATAGGTCATTAGTCTAAATTTCACACGTTAAGATAGTCGGTAAGATAAATTCGTTACATAGTGTGCTAGTGACGTAATACGGTATATATGGGGTCAGTAAATTCCATATGGGGATTCGAGCTTCGCTCTCACCCCATATGTAATTTACTGACCCCATATATACCGTATTAGGTCACTAGCACACTATGTAACTAATAATATTTTGGTGATAAATTTTGCAATGATATCTATTCATGTTCAGACAATACAAAGGATTTCTTCAAATATAATTAATTTTTCATCGGAATGACCTTCACATCCAGTTCTTGGATAAATACTCAATTTACAAAAACTTTCGAAATGTTAATTATTACCTAATATCTTTATGTTCTTATACATGCAAATATAAAATCGAATGTTCAAAATCTCAAATGCATTAAGTACTGATATTATCGCCTTCAATAAATATGGTTTCACAACTTCAGCTAACTCATATATCAAGTTTTTACTTTGATACCAAATTCTTCAAAATAGTCTTAACTTTTTATAATAGAGGTATGTTAAATCGATCACAATATTTAGACAAAAGTTACAAGTCATTAGACCTCTATCTGAATATGTTTCTTGATATTTCTTTCAGGTCATCGATACGACACGTGCCCTATATGTCTAGAGGAGTTTGTTGAAAACGAAAAGTTATGGATTTTACCATGTAAACATGGTATGTTTTTTTTAAACATAACTATTTTCATATTGTAATTATTAGTAGAAGCATGAAAACACAAGACTTGATCAATATTTTTACACAGAAGGGAAAGATCAAGTGACGTCATTGCCTGTTGCTGTGCCTAAGCCATTTTTCATCAAAGATGTGCAGGCATTTTCGTCGCTTAAGAATGATGGGTCCTAGAAGTCAATGTTTAATGTGTTATATATTCCATATATTTATTGGCCGGGAATACCGTAGCAAAAGGCTAACAAAACACACATATTACACTATATTTTATTCACTTCGAAACACCGAATGATAGATTTTAACGTTCATACACGTACGTTCCTTGTATTAAAAAGTTATGCAAGATAGACCCATGTATTGGTATAAATAAAAAAAATTAAATCATTTATGACATCAATACACATAGGGAATTATATTGTAAAATAACATTAACGGTACTAATTGTACTACACCAGATGTGCATTTCGATAATAAATGTCTCTTCAGTGATGCCCAATACCAAAATATTTGAAAAGCCAAAGCTTATTACAAGAGCTGAACACATAAAAAGGACAAAAGGTATAGCGAAAGACGGAGAAAGAATCTAAGGAAGCTGTGTAGTTTAGAAGTCATTTTCGTATATATATATATATATATATGTTTTTTTAAATTATCCTTCAACAGGTATCTGTAAAAAAAAAAAAAAAAAATTATAAATGAATAAATCTCGTCAAAGATATATCAGGCTTATAATGTTTTACGCCAGACGCGCGTGAAATTTGTTAAACCCTTAAAAATATTCAGACATTAGATATCGACGCTAAGAGTAGGGTGTAAATCCGAACAGTCAGTCGGAGTAGATTACAGTACAAACAGTGTAAAGACAACAACATTGAAAACTCTAAATAAAAGCTATATAACTGCTGTATTTTTTGGCTTTGATGTTATCTTTTCAATAATCCGCATTGTACCAATAAATCTTCCCATTTGATATTATATTTGTCCTTTACACCAAAATGACACATTATTTTTATCTTATGGTGCATATATTTAAGCTATTTAAAACATTGCAGATACTTAATAAGACTGAATACTTAGTGCATGTTTAAGATTTCAAACGGGGTTTACAGTTAAAAATGGCGATCCTGGTGATGTTATATATGTTATGCACAACAATTAGCAATCAAATTATGATAGTTTACTGAAATGGTTTTAATTTAAATGAACTAATCTAATATATTTCATTTGCCTTTCAGAGTTCCATATTAGTTGTATTAAGTCATGGTTAGCAGAGAGAAAACACAGTTGTCCAATGTGCAAAAGAATGGTTATTGCTATCCCTGACTGAACATTTGTATACCCCTACATTTAAAAAATCAATTTACACTAAATATCAGCTATTTAACTTCTTGTTTTATTGATATCTTTTGCAGTACAAGTTTACCTTGATATAAATTTAATCAAATATTTGACCAAGCATACTATGTTCTCTCGTTTAGCTTTAAGGGTTATTTCCCCTATTGACAATTGCTAATGAGAAAATTGAGTTGGATCACTGAAAACGAGAGAAATATAACATTTAAATATCAAAATATGACTTCCCTTTAAATCTTCCCTGAATATACTTATTTGTTCCACTTTGAAATAAGTTTAAATAAAAAAAAGAACACACACACACATTTTCTCTACTTCCATATTACTTATTCGTCGAATATCCCTTCGCGATTTTTTTGTTTAAGTTTGCCTAGGACTGGAACAGTTGTATGTGATGAAAAAAAATGTGAGAAAAGAAATATATGCAAAGTGACGTAAGACTCCAAGTGATTGCAAATTTATAAAATTTAAGCATTGCCAAGAAGTTTCTGCTGCTTAATTCCTCAAATCGTTCCGAAATTTTCTTTTCTAAACATAAATGAGGCTTCAGCCGAATTTTTTAACAACTATTATGTATATATTTTGTTTTCTGTTTATTTATTATTTTATTATTAGTTGATTTGTTTATTTCTTCATTTATTATGCATATCTTTTTATACCTTTATGGAGAAGAAACTATATTAAGTGTATAAACATGGAGAAGCTAGACTACCTCTTGTTATATGAAGTTGTCATTCTTTTTAATTAGTAATGCTTATTCATGTAGGGTCTTAGTTGACATTTTTCTTCATCACCAGTAAAATAAAGGAATACAACATTTCAATATCGACTCATTGTCATAAAAATTATTTAGTCTGCAAATTTCACTCTTCCAGATCCTTTGTATTCCGTGAAATCAATAATTATTGACAATTTATAAATGAAAGTTTCGTTCCAAATCGCAGGTTCTGATGTGATTATAATTAGAATGTTTGGTATTGCCCAGTGTAACGGAAAAATTCGAACATTCGAGATACAGAACGATTTGTAAAAAAAATCAAATAAATGACTTATATATATATATCTGAATAGTACTGAATCTGCCGCATTGTATAAGTCTGAAATTTGACTGAAAAACTAAAAATGAAATAAATAATAATTTACTTTTCAGTCTTTTTTAGTTCAAAATGACCGTTTCAGATCAAAATTGGTTTGCTAGTGGGAGTAATTTCCATTGATGGATGAATTTTACACTTTTTTGCATTTAATACAGAAACAAAAGTAAATAGATACCAACCTTAAGTAGTGAAAGAAAATGTTCAGCAATATTAGATCTACAAATAAGTCAACATAGGCGCAAAATTAACCCTAAAAGAAGTTATTGTCATTGAAAGAGAAAATATGAAGCACAATAATTAAGTCAAACATGGATGAAATGGTCAACTGATTGTCCCTGAATGAAATTTCTTATCCATGTTACACATTTTTAGCAGAAACTATGATAGATAGAGAGCAATAATATATAACAAAAATGTTCAGCACAATAAGATCTACAAATCATCAAACATGGATAAAATTGGCCACCGGCTTCTTATATGAGTTTTTCCTCCTGAGTGATTTTTTTCCATTTTATTCCATACAGTTTGGTAAAATAAGAATTTTTATAAAGTGTATTTTACATAGGAATCATTTGCAGGTCAAAATGCAGCCCTATTTGATTTCATTGTTGTCATAATGTAAGTAAAACATCAATTTTAATAGTAATGCAGATTTACAGGAACAATATAAAATAAACCGAGCCTTTTTAAAAAATACCGTTGATCGAACTCTTGTAAGACCTCTTCCAAGTTTTTATTGATCAAAAACCCCTACAAGTTTAGACGTTTAGGTTTTTTTTTCATTTAATATTAATAAGAAGATGTGGTATGAGTGGCAATGAGACAACTATCCATCCAAGTCGCAATGTGTAAAAAGTAAACAATTATAGATAAAAGTAAAAGCCTTCAACACGGAGCCTTGGCTCACATCGAACAGCAAGCTATACAGGGCCACAAAAAGACTAGTGTAAAACAATTAAAACAGGAAAACCAACAGTCTAATCTATATAAAAAACGAGAAACACTTATGAACCACACCAACAAACGACAACCACTGAACAACAGACTCCTTTAAATTCTTATTTTATTTTAGATTTATATATGTGAACGTGAATAAACTCTTCAGTAAAACTTAGCTCAAATCAATATATACATACAGCGTAAAATGTAGGCGCCAGTAACCTACATTGGCAGAGGAATCTACACTCGCCTAGATAAATGGGCGTTAAAGTGTAATGTTTTTCTAATTTCTGTTACGGTTTGATATACGCCCTTTTACATGTACTAGTATATTATGTGCTCATAAATCATTTTTAGCCACTGTGAACCGTGATATAGGATTTATGTGATCTCGATTTCATTTATATGGAAAGTTTTTCAAAAGGTACACATGCATGGTAGTATAATAAGATAAAATAAAATCGGGCAATATATGAAATCTGATTGCTGACGCGAACACAACGAACCCAATAAGCCCCTTACTGTTTTGACTTTATTTAAGACCAACTAATATGTATCAAAAGCTAAGTTATGGTATGTATGCACTGTTGGTTACTGTGCTTAGTGTTTTCTAAGAATTTAAACCTAAAAAAATGTTTTAAGGAAGATTTATTAACAAGAGAATGAAAGATTATTGATAAGGAAATTTACCAAGTTTAAACCGTAGTTTTCACTATCATAACTTGCACACTATTACTTTGATCGTATAAGTAGATGGACCAATATTAGATAAAAAGTAAGTTGGCTTAAAATATGACACTTTATACCTATGCAGTCAAACATGTTCACGTATATTATCGAAATATTAAATGCCTAAGGATATCTGAAAACATAAGTTTGTGTATCTAACCATGTCTAAGAAGAAATTGTTTAACCAAAATGAAAATTCTATAGGAAGGAAAGCTTTGTATTGTCTTTCAGATAGAACTTAATTAATTTTAGTTAAAGATACCATAAAAGCAAACACATGTAAAAGTTGAAATTTTGTACTTAAACCATCTTTAACGACAATAAATGTATCACTGAACTGGAATACAGATTTGATGGATATATGTAAAATTGTTGAAAAATATTCCAAAAAGATTATATTGACTCTCTTATATGCAATTTCCAGAAGGTGTTAATCGTTACAACTTCCGATTTTGATCCTGAGTAAAACATAAACAGGGGAAATCGGCCCTATCTCTTTGTATGAGATCGATACGCTAAACGGGGATATCAGCATGTCACTTCTATTCTTATGGTAACAATCCAAAGAAGACATGTCACTCTAACCGAACACATTATTCTCCTCGTGCCTACCAGTCATTTATTTTACTTCGTAAAGCCTTGTGCTAGACGGAGAATCAGCAAATACCAGTTTGAAACCTGACCGGAGATTAAAGCCACGACATCCGCTACCGCCAGCCACGAGGTCACAGAGATGGTTTTATTATATTTCGGCATAATTACTGTTTTATAATCAAACAAATATGCTACATAAATCATGCCGTTAATTTTCTCGTTTGAACTTGTTTTGCGTATATCATTTCGGGGCCTATTATATTATAGCTTGCTATGCGGTATGGGTTTTGCTCATTGTTGCAGACTGTACGGTGACCTATATTTATTAACTTCTAGGTCATTTTGGTCTCCGGTGGTGAGTTGTCTCCTTGGCAATCGTACCACACCTTCTAATTTTTATACAAACGACAATAATTATATTTTTATTCCACGGTATTGACAACTTGACACCTTTTTCCTCCTTCTTTTTAACGAAACAGTATTAAAATAAGGAACTTTTAATAAACCTTCATTGTTCGAAATTTTCCTTGTTTATATTTTACAATTGAAATATAAACTTTTAAGGAAAGTATTTTGTTTCAAACTTGAATTTTCATTGTTCTTCAGTTTCGTTGATAAATACACATTTTAACTTTAACTTTTAACGTATATTTTTAAATTAATGTTTACAATTAAGACGGGCAATCACATCAAGAAAAAACTTGATTGTCCCGCGACCGGTTTGAGTTTGATATAGACTGGCAGTGTTTATACTTCAAAAAAAAAAAAAAAAAGGAGTACCGAAAAATAAAATTCGACATGGATTGTACATTAATGGTACAGAAACCCAATTGCACACCCCGCTTAGAGATGAATATGCGGATAGCCATAGACAAGTATTCTTAGTTTTATTTGGTACTCTCTAAATCAGACCGCAACCAAACAACGCAATTCAATCGACTGAAACATCTGAAGGTCAACAAACGGTTTCCTTTACCACATGTAAAGCTCTACTATTATTGTATTTTTTCCAGGTGGTGACTATATACAGTCAGAATGAATAAACCAAAAGATTGGTGTAAAGCGATATTTATTCTTCCTCTGACAGCTGGGAACTGCAAAAACAAAATACACCAGAATTACATCTCCCATGATGGCAGTATTGCGGGATTAATTATGCTAACCAGTTTAGTAGTCATTCTAGCTGAAGTAATATACATTTGTAATTCGTTTCAGCATACAAACAAAACGGCACCGGATATCTCTCGACCACTTCTTATTGTATTGAACTGTACTGGAATTTTGTCCTGTATCTCAGTTGGAATACGAGAACAATTAAGAAAGAGATATATTTTAGACACTAAATCTCATGATAAAAGCAAATTCCTTAAGTTGAAATTTTTATGTTTGTTTTGTCTGGGATGTGTAGTATATCGTATCCTGAAGATAGCTGTCCATGTTAAATGCAAGGTGTATGTCCGTATCAACGATAGCTTGGGAGTAGCCATTTTATATGATACTTCGTGTGTTTCATTTTATCTGGTACAGACATGCTTTATCTATTATTTCTGTAAATATAAATTCGTCAATTCTTTGTTTACGTTTTATGGTTTGATCATCATTGTACTGACAAATATTTCATCGTGGACGTACGAAGCTACTGAAGAACACGATTTTTCGAAAAGGTCTCTCGAAAACACCACAGATCGGTGTTTGGAAAGAAACACCTCTTTTTCCGTAATCAGCCTGTTTCAAAATGCAAGACCATTTACAGAACCCATGCTCACCGAGTACCCGCTCCTGTGCTTAATATTTTTGTCTGGAATATGGCCGAGGACACTGAATAAGCCTTGTAATATGGACAGTAATGAGTCGTACGGAGCATCAGAAATGACAACATTGTTACAAAGCCAAAGTAGCATATCGAGTAGACCTGAAACTGTTCCACGAAAGTTAGGGGTAACATACTGTATTATACTAATAAGTGGCATGATACATTTACCTTCTCTAGTTGTTCAAGTACTGAGAATATATGGGGATTTAGGAGAAGATTATTTCTGGATTTCATCTTTAACAACATCACTCGAATATACAGTACTGCTACTTGCTCTTGTGGGTTGTTTTCATGCAATGAAACATCAATGTAGGCCACGTAAAGAGAATACCTCATATGACATTGGAAATGTTCTGTTAATTCTTTGTTTTATTATAACGACAGGGACCTTTACTTTGCCCTTTATAGAGGAGCAAATGTTTCCCATTTCCACATAATATCGAAGTTTATTTACTATTAGGGACATTTTATCGATTATCGGTCTGTACCTCCAAACTGTATATATTTTACAGATGACTAAATACACAATAACATCATCCAGGTCGCAGTATTTTTCCGTTCATTATAAATGTCTTTTAATTGGCCTAGTTAATTTTGGTTTTTGGATCTCAGATACTTTCATATTGGTTCAATATGACAACAAATTCCGCTACCGTTACTCCACTAGTAATATACAGATAGAAAATAATGAAATTTTCTTTATTGCTTTTGTTCTGTTTTACAGATTTGAATGTGTCATGTGTTTTTATTCTTTGTACAGGTCTTAATTTGCATAATACATTTTTAAAACGCGTGTTTGAAAATAAAACTCATCTTCATATACAACCAGTCAAATTATCACTTACTCATAAAGATTATATATATCCTGTTGTGGTGAGTATGAACAAATGGAGATTTGGGGTTTGGGGTCAACGAGACAGCAACCATTGACAAAAGAAAATAGAAATTTAGAGGTAAACATACGCTCCTCGACAAAAGACACACGAATATACAATAAGTCGAGCTGTAACTCACCTCGGATGCAGAAAGGTGTGAATAAATTTAACCAACATTGTCAATGATCTGCCACCATTACCAAAACCTCTTAATGACAAAATGTTGGGATATAACAAAAGACAACCTCTGACGGGGTTTCTTACTTAGGACAGGAAGATGGACATGTAGCGGGGTTAAACGTAATAATTTATGAACTAACTGTTCATAGACAAAACTGGCACTGAAAAAAAGAGATTGGGAAGACTTGTAAAGTAGAGAAGAACAAGCGACAAGGCATCTAAACTGAAGATGCAACGTTTCTCCGATAATATTTGACAAAAGCTGGCATTTATATATGAGTCATACTCTTGCTGAAAAATTTCTTGCTCAAAACATGTTCACGAAAATTGTACAAATTTGGATAAAAAGTAAGTTTTTTTTTATTAAATTTATGACAGGCAAAGACAATGAAGGTCAACATGCCAATCAGCTTCAAACTTGATATTCAATCTCAAAAGTGAAAACCAAGAAGTGTTGATTAGGGAACTGACGATAGGTCTTATACTTAAACATACATTTATTTCTATAAAAATATATAAAAATGAGTTTTTTTCCAGAAACTTGCATCCAAAAGTCTTAGAATATGTGACCATACAAACTGATGACAAATGTTTTAGCGAATGAAACACTCGGAATATCTGCTTTTGATTGAGGGAGATTGATAATTGGTCAGTACCTTCCAAAATATATAGGTTTCGGTACAAACAATTCTCCAAAATTAAATTCTACACTTTCTGTTTACCTCGAATGTTTTTTTTCCGCTTCAAAGCCACCATCCCTCGTCAACACACCAAATATGGCGTTCTAATCGGTGAATCTAGTGCTGTAAAATTAGTACACTGAAAGATTATAATTTGGAATAACTGACACTGCTAAACAGTTACTAGTTACATTTTCGAAACTTTAGATTTGAATTTCTCAAAAAGTTCTTATGCAAAAGTAGCATTGTATGCTTTGTGTGTTAAATCTGGTCATCCTCAGCAAACACTGCTTGTAGTCCTTTGTTAATTTATGTATCATTGCCATTTTGCTTAGTTTCTTTTGTTACCTATTATGACATCGGACTCGGACTTCTTTTAAACTGAGTTTTACTGTGCGTATTGCTATGTGTTTCTTTATTCTACATTGACTAGAGGTATAGGGGAGGGTTGAGATCTCACAAAACACGTTTAACCCGGCCGCACTTTTGCGCCTGTCCCAAGTCAGGAGCCTCTGGCCTTTGTTAGTCTTGTATGTTTTTTAATTTTAGTTCATTTATATGTTTTGGAGATAAGTATGACGTCCATTTTCACTGAACTAGTACACATTTTTATTTAGGGGCCAGCTGAGGACCACCTCTGGGTGCGGGATTTTCTCGCTGCGTTGAGGACCCATTGTGGCCTTCGGCTATTATCTGCTCTTTGGTCGGGTTGTTGTCTCTTTGACATATTCCCCATTTCCATTCTCAATTTTATATATGAACTCGACATAGTTATAAAAGAGGAGTGAAAAGTAAATAAAATCTAACTTAATCTATTCGTTTTTCCATTATTACTAACTGTTTCCAAAATTTATAACATCAACAATATATGATGGATCACACAGTTTTAATATAGTTTTTTTTCAAAATTCAAACATAACTAAATATTGCAATATTGAAATGCCTGTATCAAGTCAGGAATATGACAGTTGTTTTCCATTCGTTTGATGTGTTTGAGCTTTTGATATTGCCATTTGATAAGGGACTTTCCGTTTTGAATTGGAGTGCGGTATGTTTGTTATTTTACTTTTTACATATGTACAGTTATGCTAACTCACGATCCTACATCCTGTCGATACTGTTCACTTATATTCTGGCATTGCATAAGGTCCCCAAATTGTTTATGACTTCTTTACAATCAATCTGTTTGAAGTGCACTGATTGATACTTTATTTTGTGAGCAATGATGAGAACATGATTCATTTATTAGTTGTAATTGGCTTGGAACTAGTTTTCAGTAATTGTGAGTATTTTAATTTCGGCGCTTTGTGACGTTTGTTTTTAAGTAAATGGCTTTTGATCCTCGTACCTATCTTTTGAGTTAAGCTCATTGCAACTGATTTGTTCTTATGTTGTGCTGATACAGCACTATCCCAGGTTAGGGAGAGATTGTAGCTCTCACAGGTGCGGGATTTTCTCGCTGCGTTGAAGACCCGTTGGTGGCCTTCTGCTGTTGTTCGCTCTTTTGCCGGGTTGTTGTCTCTTTGACATATTCCCCATTTCCATTCTCAATTTTATTCACAAACATATTTACACCGGCCTCATTCTATATGTGTCTGTCCCTAGTCAGGAGTCTAAAGTACAGTTGTTGTCGTTGGTTCATGTCTGTGATATTTGTTTTTCATACGTTGTTTTGTTATAAGTTAGGTTGTTATTATAAATATTGATCTAAAATACTTTTTTTTAAACAATATCAAAAACTACATTAGCTACATCCTGTGAATTAAATAATAAATCCCGTACACAAGAAACCCAATTTTCTTTAACACTATTATTATCTTTATACAGAAGCATGTAAAAATCACAAACAACATTCAATATAATATGAAACCAATATTTTAAAATTCTAATGCTCTTTGAAATATACATAGACAAATGCCCAAGCTCGACACATCTATAGGTAATGGGTACAGTTTTACCCTCTTTTAAAAGAACTCTTCAAAGACTGCTATACATATATATTAATTCAATATCACGAAAACGATGAAAGCCCTATATTTCAGATGCATAACTAAAAACGGAACCATCCATACTGTCAAGTGAAATACAACATTGACCAGTTGATACATAAACATTGTTAAGAGTATTCGAGGCCTTGAATCCTTGCTGAGCTAGACGGTTCTCCGTTTGTAGAAATTTGCCATTAGAAAGCATCAATGTTCCGAAGTAAACATACGAATTAACAGTTACTATTTGAAGTTCATTGTTGTGAAAGAAAAAAATATAATTAATTCACTGTAAGCTATTTCAAAATAAAATAAAATAAAAAACGTTGGTCTTGCCGGTGTTACTTCTATGTTCCATCATATTCAACATGCTTACAATTTATCAAGGAGCTGCTGTAAAATATCGGCTGATTTTCCAAACAAAATGGCTGCAAATAAAATAAGATAATTCAGATGTTCATTTACACTTATTGTAAATCATCGACTATATCGTTGATAAAAAAAAAATAAAAATAATTAAATAACAGAGGAGAAATGGTTCTCCTTGTTTCAGACCAAGTACGTTTTCAAAAATAATTGGACAATAAACCAACAGTGTAAACACGATGTCGCACAGACAAAAAATTAACAACAAATATACCGAACTCCAAGGTAATTTTACCATAGCTACAAATTTAGAATTAATTTCATCTCGAAATAATTTGTATATAATTTAAGGAAACTGCTACTGAACTTATCAAACGCTTTACGGGAAGTCCACAAATGCGGAGTATGATTTCAGGTTTTGTTGAATAATATGCAATATAATCGTGAGCAACAAATAAATAGAATTCTTTTTGACATTTCAATTTAATTACAATAGTGAATGTGAAGCTGGTAACATAAAACCTTTGAGTACTTATCCCTGCTTTATCAAAATCTATATTTAAAGATTTGAAAAATATTAAACTTTATGAAAAAATATACTGTACTCTACTTTTTCGTTGACATGGTTGTGGGACCAGTTGAATTCAAATTTTCCTTTAACACGAAGAACCCGAAGAAAAACCGGTCATTGTATAATGTTTTAGGTGTGTCACAAGAGGAAGACGTAGATCAAGCTGTATATTAAAGGGAGAAGAAACAGAATATAAAGAGCACAATACACAAACCAAATGTTTTCGTGACGTCACGACGAGATTCAATATGGCTGAACAAAATAGGCGGAGAATGTATACAAGAGGAAATAATTAGATAATAGCGTCAACGAAATGAATATTCAAACATAAATAGGTACGCCATATCATAGAAAAATATTTAACGAAACGAACTATATACATTGAAAAGCTATGCATGGACGATAAACAATAAACTTTTGGGAAATAAGTCATATATGATAAGTGCGACCTGAACCTGGGTCGCAATTCCGAACGTTTTGAAATAGGAAAAATTCGTAGCTCTATAGTAAAAAAAATCATAAGGACCTAAGAGCTACTGTTCCGCAGCTTATTCCGACCTATCGCACTCGAGGCGAACACTTAAAACGATATTTGAAACCCATAAATGATTTTTAGGTTTTTTCTTCTTGAAACAATTCTTTCAATCCATACCCACATTTAAATCAGTAAACAAATGCTGCATTTCCATATTGCCGAGACTGAGATATAGAATTAATAAATTCATATTAAAAAAAACGAATTCGGTTATCCCTATACTCAAAAAACGAATTCAGTGACATCCTATTAATTTTTATATCAATAAAACATAAATTTCAGTAGCAATAATATATCATTTTAAAAAGAAAATTCGAAGAACAGCATTTCGAGAAATATTATAGTTGAATCTTCTGAACAGCTATTTGAACAATTTACTTGTATGCTTGTATGCATTAGATTATGTTCTACATATGAAGTAAAAGGTGGTCTGTACAGATCACTTAAAATTTCAATATAGAAAACGAATATACCTTATCGCTATTTGTTCGCCATTACCGAACATCACAGACGTTCCCGTAAAATTTTGACGTCACTTCTAGTGTCGCACATTCTCGGGTCAAGTGTCGCCGATACTCACATAACGATAAGGTCTATAACCATCAATTTGTGCTGTATTATTTAGTAGTTAGT